ACCCAAATATGCTTCAGACTATTGCCTTTTTTAACAAGGACATTGACAAACATTCCAAAGTAAGGGTGGATGGCTCTGACCGTAGAGCGCCTGTAGAAAGTGCCAAGTTCACCCCTAGAGGTTTCTACCGCGTTTTATTTTTTGGTACAGGCCTAAATAAAAAAAAAATTGAACACAAATATGCTTCAGACTATTTGCCTTTTAACAAAGACATTGACAAATATATCCGAAAATAAGCGTGGATTGCTCTGACCGTAGAGAGCGCCTGTAAAAGGGCCCAGTTCACCCCTAGGGATTTCTACCGCGTTTTATTTTTTGTAACGACCTAAATGAAAAAATAAGCAATAGTTCGTTTGTTTAAATTTGTTAGTAGAAACCCCGCTTTTTTTTGAAGAGCGTTTTTTGGTCAATGATCCCGATTCTTGTAAAATGATCACACCAAAACATTAGAATACACATGTACCTATCTCCTTCGAATCACAAAATCCAATGTCCACAGTGAAATTCCATCTTTTGGACTAAACTTTCACTTCTTGAATCAAGACCTTGAGTGAAATTCAGTCAAAGGAATAAATTGAGTATCCACCGGAGTTTCCAATGATTGATTGATAATTTATTTGTTTTTCTTTTCTTTCTTTTTTTCAAAATAGTTCAATCTAAATTGTCCCCGAAGTCCCTAGTGGCATTAAAAATTGAGAGTATGAAAACCATTAATTATTTCAGTACCTATAAGCCTTAACATGTTTACAGCTGTGAAATGAGCACTGTGAGTTTGGCAATAGCTGGAACACTTTTAAACAGATTATCACGAGATGAAAATACGAGTTATTCTAAGTGGGCTTACGTTCACAAATCACAAGAGAAGAAAGCACAACATTCATGGCCAGTAACTCTAGTAACACTTCTTTGGTAATTTTCTTTTGGATAAACTTGATGGTTGCTAGCCTTCAACTCGCTCCAGATACCGGTCAGGTTTTCAGCGGGCAACCCGATCCACGGGTTACCGTCCGGGATACGACGTAAGCGGTCGACTACTGAGAAACCAACCCAGCTCTGACTCGCAGTATGCCCTCGCCGATCAAGCAGAGAAACCTAGTGAGCGGTGCGAATCATCATCACGGCTTACCGTCCGGTACGTGCGTGAGCAGTCGACTACCGAGAAACCCACCGAGCTCTGCCTCGCAGCTTGCGGTGTGCCCCCGCTGATCTAGCAGAGAAACAAGTGCGCGGTGCGATCATCTGTTACCGCCCGGTAACAGATGAGCGGTCGACTACCGAGAAACTTACCGATCTCTGCCCCGATGGGTCCCCCGTTGATCCAGCAGAGAAACCGGTGCGCGGTGCTAATCATCACGGTTTACCGTCCGGCACGTACGTGAGCGGTCGACTATACTATACCGAGAAACCCACCGAGCTCTGCCTCGATGTGCCCGGCTGGTCCAGCAGAGAAACTGGTGCGCGGTGCGAACCATCACGAGCAGCCTCAACTCATCTGCTGAAGTTTCAGCAAAGAGTGAAAGACTATGAAAACAAGGTAATAATGTGATATTCTCACAAATTAACAGATTATCTACGTTGCATTTAGCAGCTGCCGTTGAGGTGTTTCAGATAATTGAACTCATGAAAGAATTCACAAAGGGTCTATTTGTGTGTGGGTCTCTTTGCAACATGAAGCAATCTCTTCAAAGTGGCTGCCATGCAAAAGATGGTCATTGAACACAAATGATGCTTCAGACTACTTGCCTTTCAACAAAGACATTGACAAAATATATCCGAAAATAAGAAGGATGGCTCTGTTCGTAGCGGCGCCTGTAGAAAGTGCCCAGTTCATCCCTTGAGGTTCCTACTGTGCATTTTTTTTGTATAGGCCTAAATAAGAATAACATAAATCAATAGTTAATATTTTTGTTTAAATTCTTTTGGTTTTTTTGAGAGTTTTTGTCGATATTATTCCGATTCTAATAAAAGGATCACACCAAAACATTGAAATACTTATCTCCTTCGAATCACAAAATCCAACTCTCTTATTTCCAAAATGAAATTCTATCTATTGGGGTCAAGTTTCACTTCTTGAGACAAGACCTTCAGTGAAATTCAGTCAATGGAATAGATTCAGTATTCACTGGAGTTTCCACTAAATTGATTGGTTTTCTTTTTCTTTCCTTTCTTAAAATAGTTCTATCTTCATCATCTAGTCCCTTTAGTATCATTCTTTGAACATTGAGAGTATGACAAACATTCCTTTTCTTGTGGATAAACTTGATGGTTTCAACAATCGTTTTCCTATAAGATCGCTTTTGTACTCCTTGTACTAGGTTCGGTTTTCTACAACACCGCTACGGTGTTCATGTGTGTTATGGTCGCGTCGGCACGTAGCGTCACGTCCTAGGGGGATCCCGTGATAAAATTCCTTACTAATTTGCATGTGACCTGATCGAATAACAGCGATCCACGTCCGCGACCTCTGTATAGTCCCCATGTAAACAAACATGACACACTTACAATTTCAAGATATTTAGACCGAAAACGTTATTTATGTATAACCAGTACAACATTTGGGAGGGGTTATGATTGTGAAGGAGATTATATCGGGTATAGGAAAGTGGTTTCCGCAGCGAATCTCATGGCGTAACGATATGTATTACTAGTTTTTTTCGAGAATGTTCTGGAAGGGACTACTTGTGGACAACGAGGCCTTTTCGACAACATCGCGGTTTGCGTGTCTAAACGGGTGTCGGACGCTTCGCCCCATTTCCACGTCGCCCCATGTCACTTCGCCCCTAACTACTTCGCCCCATCCCCACTTCGCCCCATCCCCACATCGCCCCATCTCCACTTCGCCCCATTCCCGCTTTGCCCCATCCCCGCTTCGCCCCATCCCCACTTCGCCCCATCCCTGCTTCGCCCCACGTAGTATGAAAAAGGTGAAGGCTAGGGGTGCAGACCAAATAAACTACCAAAAGACCCCAGATAATAAATGCTCCCAATTCTAGAAACTTAGGAAAAATACAAACTCTCTGATGAGGTGCTCGAGATACAGATGAGAGAAACGATGGCTCTATCCCATTCAGAGACGCCTCTCCTATTGACTTGTGAATAAAATCATCAGCCGCTGGATTCAACAGAATCCGTAAGGGTCAGTGAGTTAAAAGGAACTCACTGCCTTGAGGAAAATGTTCCGTCAAAATTTGTCTGATATGTGACACTTACAACTTCATTTAGATGAGATTGGTTCCTCCAAGAATGAAATTAGGATGTCAAAGGTATTGTCGTTCTCAGATAAGTGGGAGACGGGTTGGTATAGCCAGGTTGGGAACAAAGTTGGATCTTTTCAAAGTCAAGCTTTTTTCTCGGTAGGGGAGAGCCTAGCTTGAGAGGTTGGTTATGAATTGTTCATTTGGTGATGGGCTAATTCTTTCCGTTGGTTAGCAATTAGTGAATCTGTTGAAATTGTTTTTTTAAGCCAAAAAACTAGATGAGAATTTTTTTTACATGTAATGGCTGGGGCGAAGTGGGGGTGGGGCGAAGTGGTGATGGGGCGAAGTGGGAATGGGGCGATGTGGGAATGGGGCGATGTGGGGATGGGGCGAAGTGGGGATGGGGCGATGTGGGAATGGGGCGAAGTGGGGATGGGGCGAAGTGGTTAGGGGCGAAGTGACATGGGGCGACGTGGAAATGGGGCGAAGTGTCCGACAATCGTCTAAACTCATGAAACTCGGGACCAGTGTTCGGGACTCGCGTGAAGGTTTTTGACCGCTGATTTACAGCATTTCGGAGACTCCACTGTGGAAACTGCGTTGCAGTCATCTGACCATACCTAATTAGATAAACATGAACATCCCCACATTTTATGGTGAGGTTTTATTAAGCTCGAATGATAATATTATGCTCGAATCGAACATATTAACGCAGTGGCTATCGTTACGGCAGCCGTAACGCATTTCCCATTTTCTATCGTTACGGTAGTACTGCAACTTTTATAAAAACATGAGAAGAAATTATAAAATTAGAAGGAAAAAAAAGTGAATTTGAACGTTATGAAATTTGGACTTTATTTCCCTTTTTAAAAGAATCCTCCAGAGCCTCAGGTTAGAAAAGGAAAAAAGTTCGAGTGCAAAACTGAGATGCGAAACCCGCAACCTCGCGGATTTTGATCCTACCCTCTATCGACTGAGCTGTCGCACTGCTCGCTAAGACGTGGGGAAACAAATAATTATATACCTGCGTGCGTATCAAAAAAGTATCGTAGAGGGCGACAAACAACGGCTGCCGTAACGATAGCCATTTCGAAATACTATGGGTTCAAAACGGAGAACATGCACAATCTCCAATGCATCCTAACGTGCATGTTTTATTATAAAAGAGAGCTCTGTAGTTTACCGTTTATACTCGGGGTATTCTGTTGTCGTGTCTTGGTCTTGACTACATTTTATTTACTTCAAAATAGGCTTTTCTACTGGGTTCTCGTTCATATGCGGTGTTTTTTTAAAGAAATACATAATGAAACACAATGGACAATATTTTTCTCCCTATTTCCATTATATCGGTTTATTATAACGGTACATTATTAGTAACCAATTACCGACTGAACCTTGTTTGCCATTTTATGTAATTAATCATAATGCATTATGTTATTTGGATTTTACAGGGAGGATTGAGAGAGATGCAAAACTTGGTTAATGCATTTTGTAATCCTTATTTTAGGTTATTCGGGTTGTTTTGTACGATGGTACATTGTGAAATATCACAATGAAAATGTCGGATCCTATAATTAGTCATCATTTCTAAGCAATTTACTTAACCTAAAGAACTTGTCACCTGAACAGTGTATATTCCAAGACGAGATTTGTCAGTTTTTTGTTTTTACTATAATCTTTAATAATTTCAAGAATTTATTGTCAGGATTTCCTAATTTTTTTTTTGTTCTGTCAGGATTTTTCTGGATTTTTTTTTTTTTTTTAAGAATCTCTTTTAAATCAGGAATTTCTGTGGTTTTTTTCTTTTTACCGTAAAGGCATCTTTCACCAAGTAGGTTTATAGAGAACAAAATAATGATGTGAATTTGGGCAACACATTCATAGTTCTCTGGGCCCTGTGTGATCCTGAAATCACCTGCCGAGGAACAGTTTTCTAAATTGTTGTTTTCTCCAAAACTCAATTACAGATAGGCCTATTTTAGTAAGCCTGGAAGTAGGGTGAACGAAGTGGCATTATATTCATCAAAAGAGTACACCGTATGCATGTCCACATTTCTTTCTGGTTGATTACATGTGACCTAAATGCAAAGCTTTAAGTTTGACTTTTCTTTACACAATGTTACAGAAAAGTGTTTCACAATGGAAAATAAACAAGTTTCTTTCAATTCCAAGGATTTCTCTCAAATGCATCGACCTTATATATTGAGGTTGATAGTGGAGCATTTAATGCCCATGGGCCAAACGCCTCACTGACAAAGCAATAACAACTTTTGTGTAAATCAGAAAATGTAGTGGCTTTAAGCTCTGAAACGGGAATAATCAAAATGTATATTATTGTAATTACTTCAAACATAATTCATAAAAATTGGTGCTTAATCGTTTTGGACGTAATTATTGAGGAAAATTAGGAGAAATGTAAATATCTTTATCTACAGCTACGCTTAATTCCGATGACAAAATCGCTGTACTGCGAGGATGCAACTCCAATTGGATTCCTGCAAAAGTTTGGAATAAAACAAAAATTGTGAATTAAACATGGGAATCGCCAGGATTTTTTTCTAGAGGGGGAAAAGCACACTTTCCTGCCGAAATCACTGTACTTTTCCCACATATTCTCGATTTATCATTTTTCGACCCCAACCCTTTAAATCGACAGCAATCTAACTTCGCGCCTCTTTTTATTTCTTTTCCCCCTTTTTCCTTTTTTTTTTTTTTACCAACACATTTTGAGGTTATAAAATATTATGTAATACTACTGCAATCAAATAACGATGATGCTACGGCGAGGGGAAATTCGATCATAATTACACCTGTTCTTTCTAAGGAGGTGTCTAGACATAGTCCTGCAAAAAAAATTGCAAAGTTCCCAAGAGGTTTCGATTTGTCTTGTTGAATTTTACATCACGCAGGAAAGTCATGAGGTAATCGACATTATGGTCATTTTTTTTTTTTGGGGGGGGGGGGGGGGGGGGTTGTTTACCAACAATATTCTCATCGGTGAAATTTCTGCAGATTATTTCTGAATTTATTAATTTATTACAATGATGTCTACATGGGTGTGACAGGGTTTGACCTGATGCTGTTTGAGCATGCGGTGACCCAATTTATTGAATACAAAACAAATTGAGGGCCAATGACGGTCACCTCCCATCTAATCCTCATTCAACCCTTGCCAAATCAGCTGGTTCAGTGAACTTTGCAGCCAGGGCTACACCCAAGCCGTGTCAACAAACTTTCGACCTGGGCTCCTGCCATGTCCCATTGAAACATATACAAACACCTGTAACTTGACACAGCAATCTCCCTTCATAGCCGCAAACCACCCACCAGGACATTGTTGGTGGTCGTTATCAATAAAATGGTAGGTTTTCGAGATGCATTTTCACAAAATTCGAATCTTAATACCTTAGACGCAGTACAACTCGTCTTCCGCATGGCGACAGTCCGTGAAGCGATCACAGAGCTTACGACGAGGATGAGTGGTGCCATCAGCACACTGGAAAGTCTCATCGCCTGTAACGAACATCAGTGGAAGAATACAGGGTGAGTCAAAAAGTATGTTAACACCTGGATTAATGATTTGTTTTCCTTAAACAGAAATCAAAATGATTCAACACTGAAGTATATAAAGAGCATGTTTTTTCATTCCTCTGAAGAAAAGAAATCATTGATGAAATGAATCCAAGCCATCAATTATTGTTATGCACGTTTTCCTCCTCTGTTACACGACCACACCAATGGTAGGCATGCTAGCTAGCCTGGCATGTTTAAAAATAGAAGCGACTGCGGATTGTTAATTATTATCTGAGTCATTTCGTGGTATGTGGACATGTGCAACTAGTATCATTGAATGGAGACTGGCGACCTAAGCTGTCAAGAAAAAAAATATGTAAACATTCGGCAGGTGCTACCTTCCCAAGGCATAAGTGTGAAAAATAATAATTTAAACAGATTGATCTTTTATGAAATGATATTTTATTTTCCACTTGTCTCTTAACGGGAATCGTACTTCCTAATGCACTTACCGGCACAGTTAGCCTCGTCCTCCCCGTTGGGACAGTCGCGTCTGCCATTGCACCATAGCAGCTCAGAGATGCAGTCACCTGTGTGATAGCAATCTACTTGCGGCAACCGGCATCCTGCCTGCGCGAAAGTAGTATACCGATTGGCATCAGTACCCCGAGGAGGGGGGTGGGTGTGATAGCCCGGTGCTCTTGTCGCTTGCTGGGTACCACGGTAATCACCATCTGTTACGTAGGTGTTGTAGCCTGAGGAGGTGGTACCTGGTTCGTCAGTCCGCTCATAAGTTTCCTCCGTTGAGACTGTGCTTGTCATGTCTGCAGCAAACAGAAATGGTTATCAATTTTAGAAAACGCCCTCAGGCACACCTGTTTATGTGGAAATCCTTCAGCCGCTTCCATAGGCGCCGTAATTTCAAACAAAAAGCCTGTGGTAATGGACCTATCGCCGTTTGCGAGTAAGCCACGCCCCTTATAACCCTATGGAATTTGTGTACTCTTAGTTTTGTTTGTCTCAGATTTTGCGCGTTCTGCGTCTATTTGTAAATCATGTGATTGGACAACATTTCACAAGCTGCGTTGACGCGATTATATACGCAATTCTATCGCGATAGGTCAGTTCAGACAAAGTCCAAGCCACATATATACCCACCAACTAGACGCTGACAAACGTATAGTTTTAGCAAGTGGCAGGGCTTGTCAACCCAGTCTCCAGTTCGGACGAACACCACACAGTCTTCATTGCCATCAGCGTTGTTCGGTTGGCCAGTTTTCCACTTGCTGCGCAACAAAAAGCGAGGGAAGCAAGGATTAACTCTAAGACTATTAAATAATGACTATTCATACTCGTCTTTAGCAAAGGTACCTCTCGCAGTTGGTAAGCGTAGCCGTCTTTGTTATTGCAGCCGTCGTTGTTTCTAGTATGCAAGAATGCAAGAATCTTACAATAATTTAAATAGCGATAAAGCCACACACAAAAATATTGTCTATATTATGTTCCCTTTCATTTCAGTACAAAGATTAAGATCGGCTCTGATTATCACTGCCACGCCATTCTGAACTCTTCCACCACAACAAATCCTGATTATCTACCTGAAACCGTAGTAATCTGGCGATTTTCCGTCAGTCCAAACAAATTGGCGCTCGTCGGTGGGAGCAAGATCCGGGCGTGGGTCGTGTAGGCCAATCCAGTTGTGGGCAGAACTCGCTCGGTTTTGCTTGACAAAGTCCTTGTTTATTTCAAAAGTAGATTATTTTAATTAAAACAAAGCCGACATTATTAAACAGACAGCTACAGCCACAATAGCAGCAACAACAACAATAACAAACACCACTACCATCACAACCACCACCACAATCATCATTACCACACCACCGCAACCACCACTACAACCCTTCCACAATATAACACCACCACCACAGCACCTCAACCACCTCAACCGCCACAACCACCTCAACCACTACAACCACCTACGGGACCACATCCGTCACACAATCACCACCACACAACCACCACCACCACTTATGGGCAGCAAACCACTACCACAATCACCACAGCACCACACACAAAAAAGTATGTTATACCTCCGTACACCTTCCCTCGTTGTCTACTTTTCCCACCACCGCAGCGCTACTGATATTTGTGGAAATCGCTTAAGGGTAAAACAGAAGCGCCACTTCCGAAAAAAAAACAAGTTGGCTTGCCGACAATAAACATTATAAGCAATGAAAAACATGGTTGAATGCGCTTCCTTTAAAAACATATCGTCGGTCGCACCACGAACCGGCGTATCTCGATTTTTTGCCAAATTGAGTTTTTGTCATTAACGTTATTATTTCATCGAAGTGCTCATTCTCAGAAAGTTTTATTCCGATCGGAGTTCTAATTAACTAAGAACGCTAATTAGATTGTGCGGCGTATCTCAAAAAAATGAAAAAAAATGCACCACGAAGTGGCGTATCCCGATACGCCGCTTTACACGCTAATTCCCATAGTGCTATGACGTCACAAAGCATCGTCGACATGAACAATTACAATTAAGCGTTTCACGAACCGACCGTATCTCTGTATCTGCACACGGCCACTATTACGCGCGTTGTATAACATAGGAAAAACATGATAAAAATCTGTTTCACGAAGTGACGAATAACTTTGGAGCAGAATTTCTCAAAAACTAAGCACCTCAGATGCACACGGATTGCATACAATAAAGTTTAATCTATAATTTACTAGCAAAAACGAAACAGCTTGAATTCTTAAACCTACAAAATAATGACCAACTTTAAATCGGTTTTCCTCGAAACACAAAAAAATGCAATACGTCGGTTCGTGGTGCAATTGACGATATATTGCTGCCAGTCTTAGCCGAGAAATTTGGGCGCGCCTTGGTTAGAAATGAAATACTTGTTACACCTACATTAGTTGGTTTGTCGGTAATGACAGCTAGATCGCCGCCCCTCTGTCGACAGTCCTGTCGAGCGTCGGACCAAGACAGTGACGCCGCACCCGGGAAGAAACAAAACTCTCGAAATGGTATCCACCCTTCGTCGCAACCCTCGCCCTTTGTACACTGCACTGCAGCTATATAAGGGAATGGAAGGACATTTTTAACAAATGCTATCACCAACTCATTTTTTTTCCAAGCACTGTGATACAGTACATCTGAATATGGCACTGCTTTCACTTTTGAGGAAATTTGTTCATGTGGAGGAAATTTCAGGAAATGCTAACGTCCTCGGGAAGATTCTGAAGAAACGAAACAAAATTAGGAAGCAGATGCCCCATCTAAAGCACATTTCGAAGACATTTCAAAAAAATAAATGAGAAAAAAAAACATTTCAAAAGATAATTTGTGTCCAGGAAACCTACATAAGACATCCATGTTACCGAGCATCCGTATAATTTCGTCATTTTCCAGTGAGCAATGAATGTTGAAACAAATATAAAATAAAGCACCTGAGAAAATGGGAACTTGGCCAATTGAGTATGCTGACCAATTCACGGATACTACCTGATTTGGTCTCAGCTTGGGCACTTAATTATTTTCGTTCGATTTCCGTCTCCTGAGCTAAACTATGGATTGCACACAAATACAATGTACGTGCACCCGAAGACAATATGCACACAATTCCATTTTTAATCTAAACTATCTAAGTGACCAGATATTCCCTGAATTATTAGTTATTATCTTTAGTTTCATCGCAATAAATAATCTTAAGCCCATATTAAAACCCATTAAATGGGGACCGGGTACTATAGTCCCGTTTTAATGTGCTCCACTGCTAAGCCTGGGGGGGGGGAGGAAATATTCGAGAATTTTAGGAATCTTAAGATTTCCTCTAGAGGAATAATGTCTTGGAGAAACGTTATTTTCATGTGTGCATAACCAAGTATGCTTTCATACCCAAAGTACAGTTGAAAAAATTACTTTTCTTCAAAGCAAAATTAATGAGTACATTTTCCATACGTTTCATATTTATGTGGCCATGCGCGCTATGCCTATCCTGACGAAAAGTCTATTATCTTGGCTAAATGTATGGGGTGAAGTACGATTTTAATCTTACCAGCATAGAACGTAATCGCACACAGCAGAGCAGATGAGAGAGCCATGCTTACTATCGTATGTTGAAAACTGAAATGAAGTGAAATCGCCTCGGGAATAATAAAGTATACGTGTCGAAAACTGAGCAAAATACCAGATGTTTCATAAGGTAAACATTTGAGGCAAATACCGGTAAAACGTTCACTTTGTAGATTTTCTCAAAAGTAAATTTTTGTCGGTTGAAATATTGACGAATATTAAGTTTCGGTTTCACTTTCCAGATCAAGTGGATTGCGTCACTTTGCAACACCATATCTATCAATGTTAAGTCACCTGCTATCATTTTATTTGTATCGGTATAAGCGTCTTAATTTTTCTCAAGTATTCGTAGCTTAAAAATCTAAGCAAAGCTGGTCCAGACTTCCGTACCCTTATACCTGTCGTACACCTGTCGTCTTAATTGGGTTTGATATACATGTATTACCGAAGTGTATTTATTCGTCGTGCCGAGAGTTTCAATTGTAATTAATTTGCTCATTTTTCATCACTGCTTTCTTCCTTTCACTTTTATTAATGAATAATTGATATATGCCTATAGACAATAAGATTGGCAACTGATCTATAAAAGATACACATTATACTACCCTTGTTTCTCCAATGTATTAGCACGTAACACTCAGGCAAGGTATTGATAACAACTGCGGCATACTACTCAACTGTTCGGATTCTTCCACAGCTAGAACTATTATCACGTATCTAAAATAGGTTTTTCCAATCAAGTAGTATATTAATTCCATGGCACGTTATGCAGGCGCAAACATAAAAGAAATCCAACTATGGAAATTCCAGAGAAGACAAAAGGGAGCCAGAACACAATGAAGAGGAGCGTATACTATCCAATCGAAGTGGTATTTAGAGGCTGTGACGTCATATCGGTCGGAAATGTGGACTAAGCTGTGGATTGGTCGATTTAGATGCCATGTTTTTGTTATACACTGTACAACAACGGGTTACGGAAGACCCGATAGAACGCCAGCTGAATGGTCGGAATCTCAAGGTCAAGACGCGGACTTGTTTTGCATAATTAATCGCCGAATCTGGTCGCATATCATAGACCCTTGCTGTGCAAGAGCCTTCCACAGACTGAGGAGCTTGGCACATGTCCAACAACCTGTCAGCGCGTATCGCCAAAAAGAAAGCTAGACTTGATTCCAGACGGCGATTTACGATTCATATTTACCCAACCCCCCCCCCCCCCCCACTAAAAATCATGTGCCTCCTCGGCCAGTCTATAATAAAACGCCCCTTCAATTCAATCTAGCGTAAGTTAAAAAAAAAAAAACGTGTAGATAATGGAAATGTAGACACTTTATCCAGACGTAATATCTCACTTGAGCTGCAAAATGCACACAACAAAGAATATTTTTTCGTAGCAAAAAAAACCGAGATAATCAGGCGAAACATACACTGACAAATTGTCTGGGTTGATATTACCCAAGCAAGGCTGAAAACTGCAACTACCCAAAATTGGGTTATGCTTTACCCAATTGTTTTGGTTATAATTTATGTTAAATTCAACCAAAACTTGTGGTCATACAAGACCAAATTAAATTTGGTCTTGTATGGTAGTTGCAGTTTTCATCCTTGCTTGGGTAAAACATAACCCAGGCAATTTTTCAGTGTATGGTCGCCTTAACTATAGGTTTTCGCTTGATATTGTGTGTTAGCACAGTTTTGTGACAAATTGTGGTACATGTATTGTTCACGGACCGTCGGCTATAGAATTTGAAAGTCCACATGTTTGTGAGGTCAAATGTTCATTCATATGAAGTTGTTTATAGCGTGATTAAAAAATGAAAGTATAGCTCATAATCGCGACAGGTGCAACTGCCATCTTCATTGCGTCAATTTGAGCACACTGTTTACTCCGGCTTTCTGTTCTATTGACATCCTTAAACAAACAACATCAAAATGAAACTTGTACGACGAATGCCTGCTGGTATCAACGCAGTTTATCACTCATCCCCTGTCTCAGTAAAAAAAAAAAAATAGGCTTTAAACTACAAATTAAATTATTTTTCAGATATTAACAGGGTTTCATACTGTGCAAAAAAAAATCTAAACATTTCTTAGATAAAACATACTAAAAGGGGTACATACAAAATGGTTAAACTCTAAACTAAATTTTTAGAGCGTGATGAGAAACAACTTACCCACTTAACCCTAAAGGGGCCGGGGGTATCCGCCCCCCCCCCCTCAACATTTTCCGTGATTGCCTCTAAAAAAAAAAATTTTCGCGACCGGAGCTGTTATGACTTTTTAGCCTCGAGCTTTGCGCATCTTTTGATACCAAAAACATAACAATCGGACCACGGGTTGCCACGTAGCGAAAAATTTGCCGGCGCTACGCGAAATGAAATTTCTTGGGTATGTTTAGGAAAAGTTGCTCTATGCATGTGCCGAGTTTCAAAATTTTTCGTCACTCGATGGCCGAGATCTTGGGGGGGGGGGGGGCGGAATCCGCTGGTCAAAATAACCCGGCCCCTTTAGGGTTAAAGGACTAGGACTGAACACTGGGCCTAAGGCAGGAGACGTGCACGATTACCGAGAGTCTTCAACACTGGAAGACGTATGATAGCCACACATACATAATGCCATTGCCCATAAACTAAATCAACTCACAAGAGAACGTCCTCACCAAATATCGGGGTTTTTTTTACAATACAATGTAGGGAGGGACGGAGAAGGAGGTATATATGCCCAACACGATATGTGACAGAGGCGCAACGTACCCCATCCTCCGCCCCCCCCCCCCCCCGAAACGATGGTGTAGTAATGCTGACCGTTGCTTGGATTCTTATTTCTTATACCGTGCACGATTTGAGATGGAGGGGTAGCCCACCAATGTACCTGACCCTCTCTCTCTCCCTCTGTTCCGGTGAAGTACAGTCCACCATATGGCTGCAGACTAGTAAATCGGTCCGAAATTGCCTACGCCGGCCAAATCACGATTTGCAGGCCATAAAAATATTTAGTATTTGAGCATGCTGTGGGCCATAAACTTGAGGGTTTGTTTAAAAAAAATATGGGTTGAAGCCGTGCACAGAACTGTCGGTATGTAGTTCCGTTCAATTTGGATAAAATTGGGGCTCTTAAAGCGCTCTATATTGCAATGGAGTGTAGGCAAGCGAAACGATACCCTTCTCTCAGACCGGAACGTACTATAATAGCGCCATCTACGACGAGAAGTTCATCGACACTTCCGGCATCGGTCTGAGGAAGCTTGCCGACCTATAAAACAGCTTAAGAATCACTTATTGCTTAAAAAGAACATTTTTGCAAACGTAATCAAAAGAAGAATGTATGTATAAAACAATGTACAATGCAAATAAGGTTAGAATGGTAAAGTAGTAATAAACAAAAAAACACAAAATCAATCCCCTTGCAAATAATCACTTTGCTTGCGAAATGAAAGATGGCAACCCGTTTCAGGGTTTGCAGCCTTGATAGCGAATGGTGTGTTGGAGAGCTTACTTCTTCTGTGTTTACTTCAGTACATTGTATTCGCCCAATCGATATGAACGGTTGGCCTACTTGTACATCGTATGCCCCTTTGTTTTTGTGACTTTTTTTGTTAATAGTTCTGTTGTCATTCCAACAAGCCAGCCAGGTATCCAGTTACTATTAATTTTGTACTGATTGATTTGAGATAGGAGAGTTTAAACTATGAAACTTTCGTGCATCTAGTCCAGTTGGAATATTTTTGGACGTGTTATTCTCCTGTTCTGCTACTTTCTCAACGGCAATTATTCGTCTCAAATTCAGGTCATACCATCCCAGATTATAGTATTTCTTGACGTTCTGGTATTTTAAAGTGCGCTTTGATGTGTCGGATAGAACTTTGGCGCCTTTGGAGCGAGCACCAGAACCCGGAAGTAAGATGTACCCTAGTGTTACGTTTAGACACATACTCAAACTCAAACAGCTGAAAGTTGGTGACATTTTCAAATTGTTGGCAGCTTTTAAGAAGAGTACCGGTACCAACATAGTGCTTGGCTACGCAATATCCCTGCAGTAATGGGTCGGGGCCCTTATTGTAGTAACGCTCTTAATGTTTACACCTAGAGGTAGTTTTGCATTGTAGCCCTTCAAAGTCTGCTTGAAATACAAGTGCCAAACGTAACGATCATGCTCGAAGTAGTAGGTGTAATTCATGATGTCGTTGACGGGGCTTATGGCGGAAAGATTGCGACAGGCGCTCTCAAAGTTGGACACCTGAAAGAAGACATTTTGCTAAGTTAGGTAGTATAATTATACTTCTTCTTCTTCTTTCATTCATTTTCATGATGACTTGATGAGTTGGGCCCAACTGTCCCTGTCGAGCATAGTGTTGGAAAGAGATGGACCACTCAGACCAGTTTCTAGCTCGATGGATGTTTTCAGGGTCATGTTGGGACGACCTTTTCGTCGAGGGGCTTCAGGATTCCAGAGGAGAACTTGACTAGCTGGCTCATTATGTCGATAAACGTGACCGGCTAGCCGAAGGCGACGCTGTCTGATGGTGGTGGAGATAGGGGGAAGGGCACCATACAAAACAGAGTTAGGGAGATGTTGTTGCCAAGAAACGTCCTGTACAGCCCGCAACATCCGTGTATAGGTGCCATCAATGGATGCAGAGATCTGTTTGGTCAGGGTCCAGGACTCGCAACCGTAGAAGAGGATGGATTCTACTGAGGTCTTGAAGATCTTAAGTTTGGTGGTCTTGGAGATCGAGGATTTCCATACTTTGGTCAGTGAGAACAGAGCAGACCAAGCTTGAGCTTTTCTACACTCGATGTCATGAGCTGTGTTGGTGTAGGAGCCCAGATACTTGAAGTCATCAACTTTATCGAGCTTACTGCCATCTAGTGCAGTGACGTCATCAGAGGTAGATGGGTTGATAACCATGTACTTAGTCTTCTTTGCGTTAAGAGAGAGACCAACGGACTTGCATCAAGCTTCTACTTTATGGAGGAGAGATTCGGCATCAAGGAGGGTGTCAGCAAGCAGACTAATGTCATCTGCATAATCTAGGTCGGATAGGTATTGGGCAGGGTGTCTACTACTCCTACGGCGTGAGAGGGTGAGACCATCGGTTACATTTAATGCTGTCCGCAGGGCAAAATCCAGAACTATGAT